AATCAGGTTCCTCTGGTTCCTCTTTGTTTTCATCCAGGCCTGATGGATTCTTGCCAATACCATTAAGAGCTCTAGTAGGAGACAGAGGAACCTGATTTTTTCACAGATTATCTGTCTCATGTTCTACTGTCAGTAGTAGTAGTACAAGTTTCAGTAAACTTGACAAAAAGTTATTTTGATAAGTTACCTACTGCAGCTAAAATAGCCAAATTCACAGTGACGTGAAACAAAGAAATACATCCTGTTATTGAAACTCTGCTATATGTCTTTGATAATTGCTAATTAAATCCAGTAATGCACTACATCTGCTAACTGCCACTGTGTAATTTGTGCACTGTGTGGCAGTGATGGTGAAGTTAATGGGATGTCTGTAACTGTCCTCAGGCTCCCCAGCCTCAGGCCTCCCTGCAGCGAGGTCTGTCCAACTCGGCACGAGGCGTCCTGTCCAACTTCGCCCAGGCCTCCCAGCTGTCGGTGGCCAGCAGCCTCATGGGGATGACCAGTGCCAAGCACTGTGGCAGCGGTGGAGGCAGCAGCAGTAGCAATAGACTGCAGCATGACAGCCGTCGCCAGATCTACAACCTCCCAGGTACAGTATCTACTGTGTGTCTGATTCAGCTCATGTTTACCAGGGAGGTAAACACTAAGTTTATTTTACTCATCCTTAGTCCCACCCCTTTTTTGCTCTGTGTTCCAATAACAGTTGAGGATGCCTCGGACAACTTCCTCCTTTCCTGCACTTAGATATGCTATTTGCTAAGATCATCTATGTTGAAAAGACAACCACATTTTGAAGATGGTTAAACGATAAAATAGACATACCCATAAAACTTAACCCGGGCTTTTATTTCCTTCGGTCACTGAACTCAAACTGCTGTTATTTGTAATAGGCCTCTACATGGGACAGGCCTTTAATTCCATTGCACAAAACTGTGCAATTGTTTATTTAAACCAGCATAAATATTATTTGTATACATTTAGGCTATTGAATAACATATCAGTTACGAATCATTCATTCATCTGATCATTTGATACTTTGACTCAATATTCCATATTGACAAAAGTTTAAACATTTGTGTAGGCGATCTAAGCAGCTTAGAACTCACTCAAGCAGGCGACCCGGTGAGGTTTTATACATCCAAATAACTACTTTCAAATCCAGACCAGGCTTCTAATTGAGACCTGTGTTTGTTTGTCAAAACATGTAGCAACACCAGGCTAGTAAAGGAGACCCTGTTTTTATGTGAAGTTTTACAGTGTATATATATTTACATCTTAAGTAATGTTAGCAAAATGTTACTTATCTTACTAGCTAGCTACTCTACATCAATTGTTGTTGTTGTTCATTTGCATATACTGCCCATATTAATATGACACAAAGCTGGTTGAAAATCAGCAAAGTTTCCCTTTAAAAAGATACTGAGTGAATCTTAAGCCAGAAGTGTTGGCTTTTGTTAACCAAACCCCCAGAAAAGTAGACCCGACTGGAATGAGTGAGAGCAGTATCTAGTTGGTATAGAAGCCCATTTCTGCCAACGTGACGGGGACAAAAACAGGATTCTGTAAGTCATTGTAAGGAAAAAACTTTAAAAATAATGACTTAGTGTCCCAAAATAATGACTTGTGATACTAAGTCAATATTTTGAGTCCCCATTATAATGATTTACAGAATCTTTTTTTTTTTTTAACATAGAGAATAGGGGTGTCGATCGAAATTACATCTCAATCTCGAACTCAAAGGTAGAATCGACG